CCCTTCTACACCTTTCTCATTCTCTGTTGCTGCCGCCACTGGGCAGAAAAGGTGAGGTGTTTCCTTTCCTACATGCCTGAAAGAGAGATTAAGCACTGCATCAGGAAAAAAGCAATCTTTGCAGGTGAGGTTGGGAGAATCTGGGAAGTGTATACCGAAACTCCCAAATTAGTCAGCTGGGCCCCTGGAGTCTCAGGCCCATTTATAAAAAATACATTATTTTTAAGAGTTTTTCTTTCTTTCTTTCATGTGTGAGAGACACAAAGAAAGACAAGCACCTTAATAGAGTCTCAAGTTAACTAACTGGGTCCCAAGAGCTTCAGGCCCCTTTTAAAAAATATGTAATATATATATACACACACACATGTATATACACATGTGTATATACATATATGCATTTATTATTTTTTGAGAGATGTTTGCTATAGGACTCATGTGCTTGCCAGAAACACAGAGAGACAGAGAGACAGAAAGTGAGAAATCACCCCCCAGGGGGGATGACCACGCTGCAATCCCTTCTCCTCCATTCTCCTCTTGGGATCTTGGGCACGTATGCACACGCGCCCAGCGTGAGTTTAAGCCACTGGGTCCGGGACTCGAACCACAGTGGGCTCATGGGAGTTCATCAACATAGCCATTATGCCAACTGCTGGTCCCAAAATATGTAATATTTTTAAATATTTAAAAATGATTTTTGTACATTTCTTTTTTGAGAGAGACAGAGAGAAACAAGCACCCCTGATAGGTTTTCACATTACAGTTCTCTCTTCCGTCCCCAGCCTTCCCAGCCAGTCTGCAACACGGGCACCCTCGTGCTGCTCTGTGCAAGTCAACCAGAGGCCCGAATCCACAGCCTTCCATATGTATCCAGCACTGTTAAACAGTGTGTTACTGCTGTCCACGGGCTGTCCCCACCTCCCTTTATTTAATTGTAGTTAGTATTATTTTTTTAAAATTTGATCAGAGAGAGAGAGAGAGACACCAGGTCTGGAACTTGAGCCTTAGCCGGACATCTGAGAGTTCAGCACCTTAACCACCATGCCACCTGTTGACTTCTGCCTCAGGCCCTTTAACCTGCACTAGGAAGGCTGTAGATCTGGACAGGTGCTAATGCAGGGCCATGTTGAGAAGGAGCCTCCTGGGAAGGGGTGGGAGGGAGGAAGTAGGGCAGTCTTGAACAGGTGAGCACTTGCCCACCTACAGGGGGCAGCCTGACTCAGCCCTAGCCAACTAGAGGGCTGAGTTGATAGGCTTTTTGTTAATTTTTACTAAATTCTCAAGCCTGGATATTTAAGCATGAGTTCAAATTCTGGAAGTACGTTGGAGGATTGAGGGTAGCAGGAGGTCTGAGGCTTGGCATCTAGCCCTGTGTTTATATATTGGGAAGGGCGTCACGCTGTCAGAGATACTGACGCACAATATGACACAGGAATCACACCCCTGCGGGCAGGCGCACTAAGAACTGGGGGGTGCCATCATGCCTGCAGCCTGTATGGGGCTAGAGATGAGGCCTGCTGAGCCTCCTTACAGGCTAATATGCATGTGTTCCTTCAATTGCTACTTAATGAATTCCCATCATCTGCAACGTGAGATCCTGCATAAAACTTTTCATATAATTATAATTTATGTTGTTTGAATTTCCATTCATAATTTTCATAATCTCTTTTCATTCACCAGCTAGATCCCACAGTTGAGCCTGGAAGGATGACACAATGGGGATAAGACAGGCAGCATTGCAGCCTCACAGGAGGCATTGGACAAAAATCCCTGTATCATACAACACGTGCTCTGAGCAGCTGCTTTTAAGTTCTGGGAAGGGCCGTAAGGCAAAGCAAGGTGCTAGAGAGGAGTGAGTTGTCGGGAAGGGGCGAGGAGCCTCCTTTCCGGATGTGGACATTGAGGCTCACAACAGTGACTTGCCCAAGACCATACAGCAGTCAGTGGAAAGTGTGCTCTGGTCTTGGCTCCAGCTCTTGGGCTCACTCCTTCATCTGCACCATGCTGGGCTGGCACTTTCTGGAAACTCCCATGTCGGTGGACACTGTCCATATCTCAGTTGTCAGCTCACTCTTCCCCGTGCATTGGTCCAGATCCTGTCCCCCTTCCCAGAACCTCAGTAGGCTCAGCATTTCAGAGATGCCACCTGGAACTCATTTGTCTGAGAGTGGAATTGTCTCAAATCTAAAAGCAGAAACTATTTTTAAAAGTAGTAGCTGGCTTGTGAGTGTCATTTTTTTTTTCTTTCTTTCTTTTGGAGAGGTTTTTGCTATAGGGAGCGTGCGCTCACCAGACAGACAGAGACAGAGAAATAGAAAGCAAAAAGTCACCCCCCAGGGAGGATGGCCACGCCGCAATCCCTTCTCCTCCATTCTCCTCTCGGAATCTTGGGCACGCATGCACACGCACCCGGCGTGAGTTTAAGCCACCGGGTCCGGGACGCGAACCGCGGTCGACTACGTGGGAGTCCAGCGACATAGCCATTACGCTAACTGCTGGTCCCAACGAGTGTCATTTCTTGATGGAATCAGTGGACTTCTCTGACTATAAGTCATTCTTTGAGTCACTGGTGAGAATAATGCAGCCTATTCCCCCTTCTGGTCTGGAATAGGGGTACTCAGGTATAGTATTAAGTTACTTCAAAAGATAACTTTGTTCCTGTGTTGAGAATAGAGAGATTAGCTGGCTATGTGCAGGGAGGCCAAGTGTTTGGACTTGCACAAACTATTTCTTTATTGTCCTCAAGTGTT